ATAATACCGTTGCTCAAATTTTTGTATTCATTCAAACCCGGAACCAACGACAACAACGAGTTTCGCAAAATACACGATACACAAGCGATTTTACCATAAATCTCTTTGACCTGGGACCGCGTTTTTCTGCTCTGTAAGCAGGACACTGTAACCGACGATCTTTCAAATCCGAAAACTAAAAACTACGAAAAAGTACTTAGGCCTTCATTAAGTTCCACTTTCACGCGACGTTGTTTCAATTTGCTCTTTACGTATTGTTCAGGCTATAAATAGGCTCTTTTCAAAAGTTACGCGAGAAATACGCACAATCGTCGCCTACCTCGCAAAACTGGTTCCAAACGACAACAAAGGCATAAGCAACGATGGATTGTTGAACTTTGCTGGCTGGTGTAGTGCTGCTGAAAAAAGATAAGTCTATTATTTTGGTTAGTGATCGTTTGGATTTGGGTCACCCCACGTTGTGTTTAGGTTAGTATAAATAAATAATATTATTTAGTCATATAAATCACCACAGATCAGCTTCAGCGTTATCGGTTTTCGTTTCTGGATCTTTAGTTGCCTCTGTGATATACTTACTTGCGGCATACTATTTTGGGAGTGTAAAGGGTGATACGGTCAAAATTTGGTCAATATCAACTTGACGTATTTCTTTCAATTTTGCATTTAAAAAACCTGAACACCCCTCATTTTGAAGGTGTGTGTGTGTAGAATGTTGCTCCTATTTTGATTTTGGAATTCACTCTTCAGTTGTCAAAATGCCGTCCAAGCAAGAAGAGCAGCGTATCAAAATTTTGCTTGCGCATCGCGAAAATCCGAGCTACTCGCACGCAAAGTTGGCAAAATCGCTAAAAGTTGCCAAATCAACCGTTACAAATGTAATTAAAGTGTTTGGGGAACGTTTGTCGACAGCCAGGAAGTCTGGATCGGGGGGAAATCGAAAACCGGAAGCCGCTGAGACGACAAAGAGAGTTGCCGGTAGTTTCAAGCGAAACCCTAACCTCTCTCTCCGAGATGCCGCAAATAAGCTGGGTGTATCGTCTAGAACCGTGCATCGAGCCAAAAAACGAGCCGGACTATCGACTTACAAGAAGGTAGTGACTCCAAATCGCGATGATAAACAAAATACGACGGCCAAAGCGCGATCCCGGAGGCTGTACACGACGATGCTGACGAAGTTTGACTGCGTGGTAATGGACGACGAAACCTACGTCAAAGCCGACTACAAGCAGCTTCCGGGACAGGAGTTTTATACGGCAAAAGGAAGGGGAAAGGTAGCAGATGTTTTCAAGCACTTGAAACTGTCAAAGTTCGCAAAGAAATATCTGGTTTGGCAAGCCATCTGTACCTGTGGCTTGAAAAGCAGCATTTTCATAGCTTCCGGGACTGTCAACCAAGAAATTTACGTGAAAGAGTGTTTGAATAAACGTCTGCTGCCTTTCCTGAAGAAACACGGTTGTTCCGTACTGTTTTGGCCGGATTTGGCATCTTGCCATTACGGTAAAAAGGCCATGGAGTGGTACTCCGCCAACAACGTGCAGGTGGTTCCCAAGGACAAGAACCCTCCCAACACGCCAGAGCTCCGCCCAATTGAGAAATACTGGGCTATTGTCAAGCGGAACCTAAAGAAGACCAAAAAAACTGCTAAGGGCGAGCAGCAGTTCAAGGCAAACTGGCTTTCTGCGGCGAAGAAGGTGGACAAGGTGGCTGTACAATGGCAGGGGTCAAGCGTAAGGCCCGGCAATTCGGATTTGGAAAAGCGGAAGCCTAACTGAATATTTTTCCTGAATTTTATACTAATTGAACTTGAAAAAGAAATTTAATTTGATTTTTTAAATAAACGATTTCACCGATTTACACGCGTTTTCCCTTGACCAAATTTTGACCGTATCACCCTTTATATGAGCGTGTACCATGTACGGTAGCTCATCTCTCATCGTGATGGTGGGACATAGTAGACAAATTAGAGAGAAAACAAGGAGGTATTAGTATTAGTTATATGTAAACAAACAAAACAAAAGAAGAGAAGGGGAAAGAAGAGCAGACAAATAAAAAAGGGATGAAGTAGATAACAAATAAAAGAAACGTAGGCAGATTATTAGAAAAGGCATTATCCGAGACTCGGCAATCAAATGTCACTCCCGCCGAGATCTCAGCGAAACCCCCTCCCCGCCGAGACCCACACAGCCGAGCTCGGTAGAAAAAACTAAGTGTGTAGATAGATTAGTAGGAAAATAAATAAAACTACTTTATGACTCAAAGTGCAATGAATGAGCGTTAGTTTGGGGATCATTCCAGTGTTAGAGTTATGTTAGTTTTGATCCGTAATCAGCCCTGCTGACCCCTCCAACATTAGTTGCAGGCAGTGGTTGTTAGATAATGCGGCACTGTAACTACTACTATTTTAGAGGTATGATTCGTCATGTTTATACAACTCAATGTTTCAATTGAGCCAAACTATCTATCTTACAATTACAAAAGCAAACCGAAACTTACAATTATATGCAAATGCAAAATGAAACTTGACAAATCATCGTCAATCCCCTTATTACAGGGCAGGGCCTGATGATTGGAATCTAATTTAATTTTGATCAGTGAACGGGCACCATATGGTACATTTTCTCAACATGAACCTATCATTTCCAGCCTATCTGAACTATTTAATAAATGGAAGCCTTAACATGGGTTACGCTCCCCCTAAGCGGGCCCTCCGCATCCTGTCTCTGTCTTATCTCAAATACAAAATGCCAATGGTATGAATGTATCTATATATATTGGTCAGGCTTCAGAATCGTCCAGTGGGCAGTGCGCTACACTCCAAGTTACCTTTTTTTCAAATTTACCGCAAATTTGATATTTTACCCATTGAGTGTTGATTAGTCACAATGAAACATTGTGACAGAAGTTGAGGTTACTAGTGTATTAAATAATCTAGGTCCTATTTAGGATTATATCTGAAAATCCAAATCTGGCCAACGCCCACCCTAAACCTAAACCTGTTCTAATCCACCTGAAATGACTAACGTATGGAAGACTTTGACTACCCAGCCATGCAATAGTCTCATTCCGTGCCTTATGGCAACTTGATGATTCTATTGCGCTCATCTTCTTGCACCACCCAGGGGAGACTTGGTCCTGTACCCAATGCTTAACTTATCTCCTTAACACTCAGCTACTCGCAATTTCTTGTGATATAGTGGGCGGAATATTATTATATGAGACAATTCAATGCAGACGTCTTTCCAAATTTGGCAGATCAACAGGTAATCGGTGAGTTACCACGATAGTTACTATTCAACAACTCGACAACGTCCCATCGTCAACGCCTGCTATGAGAATTTCGAACCCTGCTGCAAACCCTACCCTCTTACCCAACATCCCAGTGATTCCTCGTGAAAGTGCAGAGGATTTCTCGGCTTCCATCAAAGCGAGTGTCACGTCAACACATTCCTACCCCTTCCTTTCTTGACCTGCGTTCGGGCGCGGCCGGCGATGGTATTGCCTAGTTTGAGATCACCAGTTTTTACACATTGAGGATGATTGCTAGTCTCAAGCATCGTCTATTAGTTCTATGTGTAATTACAGCTGATCTGGAAATAACAGAGTAGCAACCGTGGGTGGTCAATCATGCTCATGCTCATGCTCAGTTTTCAATTTTTTTTTCGGAAGGACACAATTAATTTTTCAGTGTATATTTTTTTCTAAAAAGTCACAATACTCCTACACAACCTTGCCGAAGACACCATCCCGATCAAACAAATCGTCTTGGAGATATGTGTTTTTGTATTTATGCTTGTAATTTTTGCATAAGCCCTAACAAACTAAGGAAACAAATGTGTAAAATGGCATGTGGGGTAGTAACAACCAACTGTGTAACATTACTAGCAATTCTAAAAACATCGATCCGAATCGATTTGTGTGTCTACATGCTCATGATTTATTAACGAGAAAAATATCGAATTTAAATTAAAAACCACCTAGTTACCTAGTTGCAGCACAAAAACCTCAAAATTTTCTGTGACGGTTTGTTCTGAGAAAGCGCAAGTTGAAATCTATGGAAACATAGTTTTAAGCCAGAAACATGAACTCGGTTAAGGTACTGTTACCAAGTTTTTTTTTAGTTTTATGAGGGTTCTATAGGCCATTAGTTTAAGTTGTTGAATTGTATAAAACCTCGATAATTCTTACAACGTGACATGGGTGAGGAAAAATTCGGATTCCTTACATTCCTTTCGAATGCAACAAGTTATTTGTTATGTCCACATAATACAGCGGTTGAGAACTAGATGAACTAGATTATATCGAGCTACCTAGTTGTAGCATACATTCTCGTTTTTCTTAACTGAGATACCTAGTTTTGAAAAATATAAATATCTTTTTTGTTTGTTACCGTAATGTGACGATCAACTAAAAATTACCAAATTTCAAGTTACCTAGTTGTAACATTACGGGGACGACTTCAATCATATTTCAAAACAAAAATCTTCTTTTGAAGCTGAATCACCAGAACAAAAAACCACAATCATCAAACTTGAACGGAAAAAAATCTGATCAATAAAACAATTGGCAAATTACCTTTGACCTCTACCGTATATACAAAACGTGTACATGAATATAAAAAAGGGATTCCATGGTCAAAATGTGCATTTATATCAGTATCAAACCATGTTACAATTTCTGTGAAGCACCCTCGATATTAGCACCAGGCAGTGATAAGTTAAACATGCGCACGAACACTTTTTGTTATAACGTGAAAAGAAGCACAATCTCCAGTATTCATCCGATGGTGATTTGTCGAATTTAAAAGCTGTGATGTAGTACAATGAACTGGATTTTAAATATATGAATATATATTTATTGTTAGCTTCTGAAAAACAGTGTGTGTTAAATACGTGTCGACATTTCAAATTTGTTTTGTATTTCACACTTGTTAGCCTTCATTATTGAAATGTACTATAAAAGCGTTCACAATTTATCAACTGGCATTCATATCAGTTGCAAAGATGAAGCCAATTGTTTGCATGCTGATGCTGACAGTGTTGCTCCACTGTAGTCTTTCAGTGGCTGGTCATAGAGGACACGGACGTGGTCGAGTTGACCGCTCCAGAGTTCACCCTGATCACAAACGTGGACCACGCCGCCATGGAAGGAACTACGCTACAAAACCTTCGGAAGAAGTTGGTAAGTATTTGTGGTGGAAATTCCACTTTAGGTCAATATTGAGATAACAATCTCTCTAATTTCAATGATGGTTATTTTTCAAATACACGGAATATATAATAATTTACAGGTGAACGGTTGAGACACTACAAAAGGGGCGTCAATAAAACGCGTCCTTTTGAAGCGGGAATCGGAACTTATTTGGAATTCGATCTGATGGTCGAAGATTTGGCTGAGGCAAATGCAATCATATTGGGAACCTACACATACATCAGATGGCCTGATGCGATTGTTCCTTATGAAATTATTGGCACATTCTGTAAGTTTAGATTAGGGTTTATTTTTTTGCAGCCAGTTATTGAGTGCGGTTTTCTGTATTTCCGCAGCTTCTGCCGAGTTGGCTAGTATTGAATGGACTTTCAAACATTACGCCGATAATACGTGTGTTAGATTTGTGCCGCACACTACTGAAGAATTTTATATTAAAATAAACAACAGTGCTACAGGATGCTGGTCATATGTGGGAAGGCATTTGGACAACACCTATAATTTGGTGAATTTACAAACTCCTTCCTGTATGGAAACTGGTACGGTTGCTCACGAGTTTATGCATGCGCTAGGATTCTACCACGAATTTTCTCGTCCCGATCGTGATGATTGGATCACCGTTGATACCGGAGCACTTCTTCCACAATATCAAACCAGTAAGTGATAGCTGATATTAATAGTTCAATTTTAAATTTTAACGGAAATGATCTGTCTTGCAGCTAGTTTCATCAACGCTAACTTTGAAAAGAAGTCAGTGGATCAGGTGGAACTGTACGGAATGGATTACTCGTATGGCAGTGTAATGCATTACTCTAAGTGGGGTGGCGCTGCTAGCTACAATCGTCCAGTGATGAATAATCTTGTGAGATGGATCTAGGTATGAGTGTCGACGAAATGCTCATGGATTTTTTTAAAAATTTTGCAGAAACCATGGCCTTATCAGGACTTTGGTAACGATACTGGACTCTCGTTATCTGATGTTACCGCAGTCAACTATATGTATTGCAATGCATCTACAATAACAACAACAACAACAACAACAACGGTAAGATGCTACTGAATTTACATTCGTGTACTATACTAAGAGTTAATTTCTTTAGACAACTTCTACGGTTCCAACGACCACCACTGCGGCAACAACGACGACTACCAAGGCCCCAACGACCACCACCAAGGCCCCAACGACCACCACCAAGGCCCCAACGACCACCACAAAGGCCCCAACGACCACCACCAAGGCCCCAACGACGACTACAAAGGCCCCAACGACCACCACCAAGGCCCCAACGACGACTACAAAGGCTCCAACGACCACAACCTCTGCTCCACAGACAAACTGCAAATGCTGGAACGCATCTCTGAAAATATGTCTGGTGTATAATTAGCATGTCAATAATTCGTATCCAATAAAGCAATACTGCATGCAACATGTGAAAAGTTTGTCTATAAAGTCCTGAGTATTGTATTTGGCGTGTAATCGGTTCCAGTTTGTGTGATTCTAAGAAAAACTTCTCAATTCATACCGATCGGACATATGATTCCGGAGACAACAAAGTGAACTTTATCTTTAGAGCTGGCATAGCTTCATGGGCAACCAGTAGACAAACTAAAACCGAAGCCATATTTAAGAGGCCTCAGATAGCCTAGTCAGCTAAGGTACGGTATTACCAAGCCGGAGGTGGTGGGTTCGAGTCCCGGTCTGGTCTAGAACATATTTCGGGTATTCTGATGAATTTGGGTGGATTAGTGGAATATTTGTATATAGCCATTCCATAGAAAAACGATATAGTAGACCCGTGTATGTATTTTGTTATTATGGTGACCATTTTCATGTTAGGGTGGTTCAAAAATCATTTTGTTTCAACAATGACTTTTTCAGCATCGCATCGCTAAATTTTTGATATTTATTGTAAAAAATCCTAAATTTTCTAGGAAAAACATAAAAACATTTTGCGCCCTCTGTGTACAAATCTTAAAAACCATAAAAAAAAAAACAAATGCATACAATCAATGTTTTTCAATACGAACTCAATTTTTTAAACAATAGGGTTTACTACCCCATTTCCGGCCTCTTAATCACAACCCGCACTAAGTATTTCCTAATCTTGCGTAGTTTAGCACCAAATGGAATGTTATTATTACTGATGGCTTCCAAACTCATTTACCTTTCCGTTTTACCGTAAGATTTGATAAAGAGAAACAAATTGTTGAGATATTGTTAAAAGTCTAACACTGCTTCTTGAAACGCCAATGAATTCACTTCAGCCTATCAGATGAAGATAAAGATTGATTCGGTCGGAGCGCTTCATTTGTTTTTGGGAATATTGGGTGCAAACATTCATATCACGTGTTCGGTAGCATTTGAACTAAAGTATCGTACCAAAAGCATAATAGTATACCTGTTAACGCCGAAATCATGGATTTATTTGATGTTGTGGGGCGCTTAGGCTGAAGTAGTTCTCTACCCTATTATATTTTCCTTAAACCTATTTTAATACATTTTATTTGATTTTGTGATCTTTGCAATCGATCCAGTGGTTCAAAAGTTATAATATTTTGAAGAAAGTCATTTTATCGTTTTAATATGGAATGGCTGTATGAAGGAAGAGAGAAGGATTAGTAATTTCCGTTAAATTTCATTACTTTCTTCCTAAGTAGGAACTTGAAAAGTCATGTGTGTCCACTAGACTGATGCAAAATTTGAGATTATGATGCCACAATGCTCAAACAGTTCCAAATTAGGTCGTCATTAGCTTCCTAAAATTTGAACTCATTTGGTAATAAACTGACTTAGCACAAACTGCAGGCTATTCGTTCTATGAGGCCGATGAAGCACTCGTCGTATTTCCTGATTGAAATACGATCTACCGTGAGTGCTTTATCTTATTGTTCTTACACTATCACCTTGGATTGGGTCCCTTCTCATTGCTTCATTCCGGGTAACGAGAAAGCGTACTCGCTGGCTAAGGTGAAGGCGACATTTTCGAGCGACAAATAGCCTTCAATGATTTTTTCTCAATTGCTCGTCAGCAAGTCCTCACCAACGGTCAACAAAAGTGGGATGATGGTGATTTGGGGAGATGGCTACACGCTATTCTCCCACAGGTGTCGAACAAACCATGGTTTAAAGGGTTAGGCATGGACCGTAACTTTATCCGCGTCATGTCTAGGCTCATGTCCAATCATTTTTCATTAGACAGCAATCTATGCGCCTGTGGTGCGGTTACCATGACATCGAGCATGTTGTTTGGTCTTGTACCTTATACTGTCTTGCCAGATCTGAGTTGTGCGAATCCCTTAGGGCCCTAGGAAAGCAACCTGCTACAACCATTAGAGACGTTCTGGCTAGCCGTGATCTCGAATATATGAAGTTGATTTACTATTTTCTAAAACGGTCCGATTTGAGAACTTAGGAGTCTTTAGCAGTTTTTTAATTGATGTGTCAGTCCTCTCATCGTTCTCCCAACATAGCCCTTTTTTTGTGTTGCGTTTCAGGTGTCTCAACAATTATACATTCACCTTTCGAGGTTCAGAGCACTTGTCCGCACTGCAGTGCTTCTTTCATGTCCATTCACCAATGCAACGGCGATGGAGGTTAAAAATACAACTCACCCCTATGTTCCTTATCCCAAGTCCACGTCCAACCTGTTTAAAAATTGTTGTCCTTAACTTCGAGTAAACCGCGAGTATTCGGTCTCCGTTCTACTAACTTGAGTCATAAGAAATATTGTTAATACATTGAATTACGGCTCCGCAAAGCTACCGCAATTGAGCCTTGACAAATAAATGATATAAAAAATAGTCTAATTGCTCAACTTCTTCTAGGTTGTTCTACATATACTTTGCTACAATGTTTGCAACTTATTTCATAATGGGCGAACACGAAATTATCTCAACACAACTGTATCTTTATTGCTACTAGGCGGAAATAAATCAAACCAAACAAAAGTTTCTCTTTGAAGTGTATTGTTTAAATCCTGTAAATTGCATTATTGTCTGTTTCAATGCGGCTAAGATGGAAGTGAGTCGAGTGGAACATGGAAAATCCGGAACTGTTCGATCATGCTTTATGAAAAATACTACATATCAATAATTCAACCGTATCAAGAGTTATAAACAGGTTCAAGGACCGGTTGACATTGGATCACAAGCACGGAGAAGGAAGGAAGACATCTCCTCGATCCATCGTATAATATTACCACTTTAAGTCTGTTAGTTGACGCTTAGGATCTTCAACTATATTCAAATGGATCTTTGGCCACATTTGTCGCTCTCAGAACCTTCGGGATGTCTATTGACTATTGATGTAAAACCATGACCGGGGACATTCCTGTGGTTTCAAGAGCGGCCAATGTGGTCTATGATTTGAAAGTTGATAGAAGCCTATTCATTAAATTTTTTTAATGAATAGTTCTGGGGGCAAGACAGCTTTCGATCATGAGTAAAACCGGAGTTAATTTTGAGTAACTCTGAGTAACTCACGTTGCTCAATATCTTATATACACATAGCAACCTGATTGTTATATTGAAAAAAATGTTGAAACCGATGATGTCAAGCAAAGTAAGTTGAAGTGTTTTCTTGGAATTTCTGTGTAGGGATTTTGGAGGCGGTTCGATAGGTTCGGATTAGGCTAAATTAATTCAATAAATTCAATTCTTAGAGAAATATAGTTCACGTTTTTTTTAAACTTCCAGAAACTCAATGAAAACGTTATTTACACAAATATATAAAAATAATACAGTACATACAGGCTGCACGATTTTCAAAAAGATAAGAATACAGTGCCTTCCCATGCAAATGCAACCAGCTCCATTCGATTTATAGGATTACTCGATCATTCTTCAGGGATTAGACGCTTGATATTTCATGAAATGTTGTGCTCTGGGGACAAAATTGAGGAAATAAACATATGAGGCCGTGTTTCCAAAAACGGTACGGCACTTTTTATGGTAGTTGACCATGGCATGATTATTAATGTTAAGGTTCCACAAAGAGTAAACAATTTGTTTACTTCTTGTTTTTGAAATATCTTTCGATATTTATTCACCATTAAATACATCCACTCACCCATGGTAATGAGTCAAACTTCACAATTGCTTGTTTTAATAAACTTTAATTCATTGCTAGAGGCAATACACCTGGCAACGCTTTTTCAATGATACATTTACGATTGCTGGCAAAGCACTAAAGTTGAAGTGGTTTTCTTGGTGTTCAATTTTGTTCACCAAGAGTTTTTAAAAACAGTTGTTTTGAGTTTCGTGTATTCGATTGTGTGTAAGAACACAAGTAAGTAAATACAGTGAATGTGCTTTAGCCGGGAAATTTTCGTTCTAAAATCATGAAATACATGTGTTAAATTTTTGTATTAATAATGTGTGAATGTATGTGTATACTTATGATGATGATTGAAGAATATTTCAAAAATAAGAATAATACAAATTTAATTGTTGAACCTTAACCAACTCCACGAAGCTGGTTAGAGCTGACCTAATCTGGCCTAGAATCAGTAGCTACATAATATACCACAATCAGCAGTCAAGGACCAATTCTATTGACCACGAAGGACGTTTAAAGCACAGGTTGTACCTCACGTAACCGAAAAGGAGCATTCCCCTTTTGGAACAGGTCACTCCCATCACTCCTGTATCGTCCTAGGCCATGTCAATCCTTACCAACGAGGAAAAGCGCCTGAAAGGCATCCAAGTCATACACGAACGACAAGCCTCGTAAAACCGTCGTGCAGTCAAACCACCACAAGAGCATTTCGTTTGTCCACAATTCGATTTGTTAAACGAGCGGAGAAATTTGCGACCTCGCGAGCGATAATTTTAGTTTATTTACGCGGTGATGATGTTGGTTCACTCGCAACTATTTTGAAAAAAATTAAGTGTTTTCGAACGAAAGTGTACCAAAAGTGCTTCTGAACGTGTTTCGTAGTTGGGTGTGGTGAAATTCGTGCATTCCCGGTTGATTTTGGAAATCCGTATCACAAAATTACCCACCGATTCCTTTTTTTTTTGCCCTTCGACGACGACGGGTGTGCTTTTGCGAGAGTGACGTTTATTTGATCCGTTTCTTTGCACGGGTGTTTTTTTTTTGTAACTACGTAAGTGTGCCTGCGATTTGCATTGAGTGTCGGAGATTGTAAGTAATATGAAGGATGCCTCGCTGGATACGCCCAAGACTGGACGGGCAGTAGCTGGGGGCCGTGAACGGTTCCTGGGGAAAGCACTAGATGCGACCCTCCTCCCAGATGACCATGGCAATACAGGAAGTATTGGTATTGGAAGGTAATTGTTATTAGATATTTTGCAAACAGTGACATATAGCGGACATGAAGATCCAGTGGAGGTGCCGGGCAATGGTGTTTATCCTAGACAAATAGTAAGTTACAAATTCGCTGT